TTGCATCTCACACACCCCCTACTGGGGACCTGGCCCACAACCCAGGCATGTGCCCTGACTGGAATTGAACCTGTGACCTTTCGGTTTGTAGGCTGGTACTTGATCCACTGAGGCACACCAGCCAGGGCCCATTAATGTTTTTTATGAAGACAAAATAAAGTCTCATCATGTGTTGCAGTAAGTTACCATGTTTTTAATAATCTTCTTTAATTGGAACAGTAAAGAATTTCTTTGTTTTTCATGATACTGATTTTTTGAAGAATGTAGGACTAGTTATTTTGTAGAAAGTCTCTTGATACAGTATGTCTGATGTCTTCTCATGATTCAAGTTAGAACATGCACTTTTTTGGCACGAACACCACAGAACTGGTGCCATGTTCTTAGTGCATCAAGAGGCAGACGGTGTGATTGGTTGCTGGCGTGGGTAACCTGTCAGAGTTGTCTGCTGGGCTTTAACATTACCAGTTAGTGTGGGGGAGGGGTACTTGGAGACCGCTGAAATACCCCGTTAATGCTCAAACTTTTGCCCATTTGTTTTAACATTCATCGATGATTATTTCCTGAATCTGTTGTGAAGATTTCTGGTGGTGATTTTTCTAACCCACTTATGCTTTTTTTTTTCCCCATTTATTTATTAGTTGGATTTCCACTGTAAGGAATAGGTTTCTCTTCTTATTTATTTGTGTACTTATGTATACTTGTGTAGACATGGGTTTTTATACTGTTATTTTTTATGCTCAAGTTAATTCAGATTTGGCCAGTTGGGAACATGTCATGCTAATTTCTATATCTTTTTTCTTTTTAATCTAAAGTTTTTAGGTGAACATATTGTGAACTGGATATCTGTTAAAAGAATTTATTTATTTTTAGAGGGGGGGAGGGAGAAAAAGGGAGAGAAATCTCAATACAAGAGAGAAACCTTGATCAGCTGCTTCTCTTACACACCCCAACGGGGGCTGGAGCCCTCATCCCAGTTGTGCCCTGACTGGGAATCGAACGGGTGGCCCTTTGTTTTGTGGGGCAATGAACACCCACCAACTGAGCCACACTGGTTAGAGCAAATTGGGTATTTTTTAGAGTGATTTAGGTTCACATTAAAAGTGTCCTGGACCTTTTTAAAACTCCCCATCATTCTTTGAGAACAGATTTTTTTTTTAAAGAAAATGTTTTTTTTTAATTAATTTTTTAATTGATTATGCTGTTACAGTTGTTCTATTCCCCCCTTCATTCCCCTCCACCCTACCCCCCTGTCCCCACCATTACCCCCCTTTAGTTTATGACCATGTGTCTCAAGTTCTTTAGATTCTATATTTCCCATACTATTCTTGCCCCCCATCTATTTTCTATCTACTGTCTGTGCTACTTATTTTCTGTACCTTCTCCCCCCCTTCTCCTCTTCCCACTCCCCTGTTGCTAACCCTCCTTGAGATCTTCATTTCTGTGTTTCCACTCCTGATCTAGCTGTCCTTTTAGTTTGCTTTCGTTTTAGGTGTGGTTGTTAATAACTGTGAGTTTGTTGTCCTTTCACTGTTCATGTTTTTTTAAACTTCTTTTTCTTAGATAAGTCCCTTTAACATTTCATATAATAAGGGCTTGGTGATGGTCCTTGAATTTGATCTTATCTGAGAAGCACCTTATCTGTCCTTCCATTCTAAATGAAAGTTTTGCTGGATAGAGCAATCTTGGTTGTAGGTCTTTGGATTTCATGACTTGGAATACCTCTTTCCAGCCCCTTCTTGCCTGTAAGGTCTCTTTTGAGAAATCTGCTGACAGTCTGATGGGGACTCCTTTGTAGGTGACTGTCCTCTTATCTCTTGCTGCTTCTAGGATTATCTCCTTCATTTAATCTTGGCTAATGTAATGATGATGTGCCTTGGTGTGTTCCTTCTTGGGTCCAACTTCTTTGGGACTCTCTGAGCTTCCTGGATTTCCTGGAAGTCTATTTCCTTTGCCAGAACGGGGAAATTCTCCTTTATTATTTGTTCAAATAAGTTTTCCACTGGTGGCTGTGCCTTTCCCCCTTCTGGTACCCCTATAATTCGGATGTTGGAGCGTTTAAAGATGTCCTGGAGGTTCCTAAGACTCTCCTCATTTCTTTGAATTCTTGCTTCTTGACTCTTTTCTGTTTGGCCATTATTTGCTTTCTTCTGGTCCACTCCATTGATTTGAGTCCCAGTTTCCTTTTCATCGCTATTGGTTTCCTGTGCAATTCCATTCATTTCAATTAGTTTCGCCTTCATATGTTTCTCTAATTTGTGGCTATAATCAACCAGTTCTGTGAGGATCCTGATCACCAGTGTTTTAAACTGTGCGTCTGAGAGTTTTGCTATTTCTTCATCGCTTAGATTTATAGGCTCTGGGACTTTGAGATCTTCTTGAGCCATTTTTGGTCCGTTTGCGCCAGTTAAGTATGAGGAGCGGAGCCTTGGACTCCCAGGTTGCTGGGTTGTGATGCTGTATGTGGGGGCGTGGTCAGAGCAGGGAAATGGCGGCCCCCTCTGCTGTTTCTCGCAGCTGGGTGAAGAGCGGAGCCTTAGGTTGTTCACTGGGGCAGGGCCACTTAGGTCGCTGGATTATGACGCTGTATGTGGAGGTGGGGTTAGAGCGGGGAAATGGCGGTGCCCTCCACCGCGGCTTGCTGCTGGACTGCTGGCTCTCGTCCAGTGGCCCACTCCCTCGCTTGTCTGTCCACACACGAATGCGCGACCACAGTCAACCCGCAGCCCTGCTCCCTCGCTGTTTCCCCGAGGTCGCTTGCTGAGTTGCCCACCAGGTCCAACCCTGCGCCTAGATTCCGCGCACCTGAGTCCATCTGACCGAGTTTTCCTGTGCTACCCTGCTCTGCCAGCTGCTGGTTTCGCCCCTCTGACTGGTCAGGCTGAAGAATTTGTTGTTACCGGACTTCCGAAAAGTTCAATTTTCTGTGTTGTGGCTGTGTTTTCTGTTGCTATTATTGAGTTGTCTCTAAACTTGGTTGTGTGAGGAAGCATGGCGTCTCCACCTATGCCTCCATCTTGGCGGAAGTCGAGTGGTAAAGAAAATGTTTTGTGTATATTAGTGATTTAAAAACTTTGTTGTGAGGCAGATTTAAAAAAAATAGACTTTATTTTGTAGATTTTAGGTTCACAGCAAAATTGAGGAGAACATAGCTTTTAATATCCCCCACATAGGCATAACCTCTTCCCAGCAACATCCTGAAAGAGGAGGGGTGCCTTTGTTACAGTGGGTGAGTCCACTGCACTGTGCCCTTGGTCGGCCACGGTCTCGTTTGCATTAAGGTTCCGTCATGGCGCTGTGCATTGTGTAGGCTTCCATGACTGTGTAATGACAGGTAACCCGCACCACAGCGCCTTATGGAACAGCTCCACTGCCTTAAAAATCCTCTGTGCTCTGCCAGGTCATCCTTTCCTCCCTTCAGCCCTAGTATCAGCTGATCTTTTTATTGTTTCCATAGTTTTGCCTTTTTTAGAATGTCATATAGTATGTGACATTTTGGAATCATACAGTATATAATCATTTCAGATTGGCTTCTTTTGCTTAGTAATGTGCATTTAAGATTCCTCTATGTCTTTTTATGGCTTGACAGCTCATTTCCTCTTAGTACTGAATAATACTTAATTGTCTGAACGTACTACAATTTATTTGTCCATTCACCCACTGAAGGACATCTTGGTTGGTTGCTTGCAAGTATTGGCAATTATGGTTAAAGCTGCTGTAAAAACTCACGTGTAGGCTTCTGTGTGTACATAATTTTTCAGCTCCTTTGGGTAAATACCAGTGTGCACAGTTGCTGGGTCTTATGGTAAGAACATGTTTAGTTTTGTAAGAAACTGCCAAACTCTCTTCCCAAGTAGCTGTATCATTTTGCATTCCTGCCAGCAGCATGCTTATCAGCATTTGGCATTGTCAGTATTCTGGGTTTTGGTGATTTTAGTAGGTGTATGATGATGTCTTACTGATGTTTGAGTTTGCAATTCCTACCGACATAGGATATTGATAGCTTTTTTATGGCTTGTTTGCCATCGGTCTATCTTCATTGGTGAGTTGTCTGTTCAGGTCTTTTGCCCATGTTTTAATTGGGTTGTGGTTTTTTTGTTTTTTTTAAAAGATCTTAATTTATTTACTTTTTAGAGAGAGGGGAGGGAGGGAAAAACGCAGAGAAACGTGGATCGGTTGCCTTTTGCACACCCTCAAGTGGGGGGGCCTGACTCAGAATCAAACCAGTAACCTTTTGGTTGGTAGGCTGTCCACTGAGCCACAGAAGCCAGCGAGTGTTTGTTTTCTTACTGTTGAGTTTCAGGAGTTTTTTGTATATTGGGTTGGCCAAAAAGTCCATTTGTTTTTTTCTGTGAGGTGGCTGTAGTAGCACGTAGTTGTCTTTAACTTCATTCAAAAACAGTTTTGCTAGATTGTATTGTGACAGCTGTCATACCAGTGTTCATTTTAAAAAAAAAACTTATCAAAAGCAGTGAATTTTTATGTAGCCATTATAATATTGAAAATGGAAGAAAATATGCAACATCTTTGGCATATGATGCTTTATTGTTTCAAGACAGGTTGAAATGCAACTGTAATGCGAAAAAGATTGTGCAGTGTGTGGAGAAGGTGCTGTGACAGATCGAATGTGTCAGAAGTGGTTTGTGAAGTTTGTGCTGGAGATTCCTCACTGGACGATGCTCCATGGTTGGGTGGACCAGTGGAAGTTGACAGTGATCCAATCTAGACATTAATTGAGAACAGTCAGTGTTATTTCTTGGGGGAAATAGCTGATGTACTCAGAACTCAGAATATTCAAATCAGTAAAGTTATTGGTGAAAATGAAAAATGTGTCTTTTACGGAAAAAAAGCATAAGAACTTTGGGGCCAGCCCAGTATTTTGGACAATGGTCCTTTATCAGATAAATCTTTTGCATATATTTTCTACTGTTTTCTGGCTTACATTGACAGTCTTTGGACAGTGCCCCCTCCAACCTCATGGCCTGAACTATGTATTTTCTCAGCAGCCACCGGGGACGCACAGGAACTCGGGGCACATTCCGGAGTCCACTCCTGGTGCTCACAGGGAGCAGCTGCGCCTTCCCGTCTTAGTAAGTCCATGCCTATCCTAGAACTGGGCTGCCCCAAGGTGACAGTGTGGAGTTCTGCTCCAAGGTGCCTGTCAGGTGAGCCTGGGTGCTTGGTGGAGCAAGAAGGGACTTGTCCGGGTCCCAGGTACCCGCCTCCACAAGTCCTCAGCGCTGGCCTCCAGGACCACTGTGCCGCCCATGCCTCCGGGGTTGCCTTGATCTTCCCCGCCTCAGCCTTGGCCACGCCTCAGCCTTGGCGACGATGGCTTTGATTCCCTGGGGCAGTGACTCCACCAGCTTCTTTGCCTGCACGAGGTTTCTGCCCGGGATGTTGCACTTCATTTCCCCGATCAGCTTCACTTTGTCCCCGTCCCTCGCCTCTGTCAGGCGGAAGATGAAATGTGTCTGTTCTTTCTGTTTGGGGATGTATTTTTCTACTTCCGGGGCTGCTGCGCAAGGTGCAGACGCGTGGCTCGTCGGAGAAACGTTCCCTTTGGAGAAACGGAGCACGTCTCCCGGAAGCCTGAGACAGGGCCCCAGGGTGAGGGCTGCTGCCGGCAGCATTGCTCCGCAGGCAGGAAGGTCACAGGTGGCCCCCGGGGAGGGTAGACAGTGTCTTTAGCAGAGCAGTTTTTAATTTTAACCAGTCCACTTTATCAATGATTTGTTCCATGGATTGTTCCTTTGGTGTTTATTTAAGAAGACATAGCCCTAGCCATAGTCATCTAGATTTCCTCTTTATTTTGTAGGAATTTTATAGTTCTGCATTTTACATTAGGCCTGTGATTGGTTTTCAGTTAATTTTTGTGAAGGGTATGAGGTCTGTGTTTTAGAGGGGTTTTTTTTTTTTTTTTGCACGGGTATGTCCAGTTGAGCACCATTTTTTTAAAAGACTGTTTTTCCCCATTGTGTTGCCTTTACTGCCCTCAAAGATCAGTTGATGCTGTATATGTGGGTCTGTTTCCAGGCTCCTTGTTCTATTCCATTTTCCTATTTACTGTGTTTTTATTGTATGTCTTGATATTAGGGTAGCTAGTTTTCTCTTTTTTTTCTCTAGTGTTGTGTTGGTTATTGATTCTCATGCTTCTCCATATACACCTAAGAATCAATTTGTTGATACTTGCAAAATAACTTGTTGGGATTTTGAATGGGATTGCATTGACTCTCTTGATTAAGTTGGGAAGAACTGAGATTTTTGACAATATTGTCTTCCTGTCCATGAACATGGAATATCTCTTTATTTAGTTCTTTGATTTCTTTCATCAGAATTCTGTAGTTTCCCTCAACTATATCTTGTACATATTTTGTTAGGGTTAGTCCTAAGTATTTCAATTCTGGGGGTGCTAATGTAAATGGTAATATGTTTTTAATTTCAGATTTCATTGGAAGGTAATTAACTTTTGTGTATTTTGTATCCTGTAATCATCTGTTCTAAAAATTGTTTTGTGTTTATTTCCTTTTCTTGTCTTACAGCATTAGCTAGAATTTCCAGTTTAATGTTGGAGTAGTGGAGTAGTGAGAGGGGTGTCCTTGTCTTACATGGAGAGTTTCTCGTTTTTCAGCATTGAGTATCATGTTAGGTGTAGGGTTTGGTTTTATTTTTTGCATGTAGTCTTCATCAAGTTCAGGAAGTTCCCCTGTATTCCTAGTTTGATGAGAGCTTCTTTGAAAATCATGACTGAGTGTTGAATTTTGTTGAGTGCCTTTTCTGCATGTGTTCATGGTGCCATGTGTGGTAGTTTTTATATGTTTTTGGAGCCTGCTGATAGGATGGATTACAATTAATTGATTTTTTAAAAGATTTTATTTACTTATCTTTAGAGGGGAAGGGAAGGAGAGAGGGAGAGAAACATCAATGTATGGTTGCCTCTTGTGCGTCCCCTGCTGGGAACTGGCCTGCAACCCAGGCATGTGCCCTGACTGGGAATCGAACTATGTTTGTTTGGTTCATAGGCCCGCACTCAGCCCACTGAGCCACACCAGCCCGGGCACAATTAATTGATTATTGAACATGGAATGAGCCTTCCATTATCTGGGATAGATTCCACTTGGTTGTGTTATGTGCAGTTCTTTTTATACATCATTGGGTTAGTGTTGCTAGTACATGTTGAGGATTTTTGCCTCTGTGCTCATGGGAGACATTGAAAGTTCTTTCAGGAGACCTTTTGACACATTTCCTCCTCTTTTGTGAACTGTACCTGTGATTTGTAGAAGGAAGCTATGATCTTAAGTTTTCCAAATGTTTTAAAATTGCTTCTCAAACACAAGCCCCTTGTTTTATGATGAGATTCATCATTATGAATAACAGTATTAACACAATACTGTACAATATACTGCTTCTTGCTCCTTTTCTAGCCTTAGCAATTTAAGCCTTAATTTCAGTCTAGAATAGCAGTTGTCACCTTCCTGATAGATTTTTTAAAGTTTTCATTATGAAAAATTTCAAGTGTGTGTGTATGTATGAGGCCTGTCTGGAAAAACTCCAGCCATTGTTAATGCAATGAGAACAGTTTGCATGACATCGATGTAACCTGGCAGCCAAGGAGAGTGGACTGGAATGCACATGTGTGAACAATGACGCCTTCACTGTACTAGTGGGGGGGGTAGGTGCCGTTGAGTGAGCATGTGCACTGTGCGGCCATTGCATTCAGAATGTCTGAGAGAGTGGAACAACTCATTTGTATCCAATTTTGCATTAAGCTTGAACATTCCTCCACAGAAACTATCTGCATGGTTCAAAAGGCTGCAGCCATGGGCAACTGGTGGTTGGCAACTTCATCACAGCAGTGTGCCTGCTCTGCTTCATGTTTTATGCAGAGTGTTTTGGTGAAACATCAAATCACCCAGGCGACTCAGCCCCCTATAGCCCAGATTTGGTGCCCCATGACTTCTGGCTTTTCCTGAAACTCAAATCACCTTTGAAAGGGAGGGAAGAGATTTCAGACTGCCCATGAGATTCAGGGAAACACGACAAGGCAGCTGCTGGAGACTGGGAGAACTGGGCGAGGTCCCAAGGCGTCTACTTTGGAGGGGGCTGAGGCGTCATTGTCCTGTGTAGTGTTTCTTGTACCTTGTATCTTACTCAATAAATGTCTTTTTTGTATTACATGGCCTAATACTTTCTGGACAGACCATAACACACATGCGCGCGCACACACCCACATCCTTCTTCCTTTGTTGTTACTGCCTAGGAACCGAAGAAGTGGAGAGTGTTGAAGTAGAGGCATTTGGCAGAATAACACATAAAGTTCTAGTATGTGTAAAGGTACTGGATTCCTCTTGAAATGACTAGATTGTTTTCTGTGAGATTTGGCAGGCCGTATATATTTTTTTTTAATTTTTATTTTTTTAATTGATTATGCTGTTACAGTTGTTCTATTCCCCCCTTCATTCCCCTCCACCCTTACCCCCCCCATCCCCACCATTACCCCCCTTTAGTTTATGACCATGTGTCTCCAGTCTTTTAGATTCTATATTTCCCATGCTATTCTTGCCCCCCATCTATTTTCTTTCTACTGTCTATGCTACTTATTTTCTGTACCTTCTCCCCCCATCTCCTCCTCCCACTCCCCTGTTGATAACCCTCCTTGAGATCTTCCTTTCTATGTCTCCACTCCTGATCTAGCTGTCCTTTTAGTTTGCTTTTGTTTTAGGTGTGGTTGTTAATAACTGTGAGTTTGTTGTCCTTTCACTGTTCATGTTTCTTTAACTTCTTTTTCTTAGATAAGTCCCTTTAACATTTCATATAATAAGGGCTTGGTGATGATGAACTCCTTGAATTTGATCTTATCTGAGAAGCACCTTATCTGTCCTTCCATTCTAAATGAAAGTTTTGCTGGATAGAGCAATCTTGGTTGTAGGTCTTTGGATTTCATGACTTGGAATACCTCTTTCCAGCCCCTTCTTGCCTGTAAGGTCTCTTTTGAGAAATCTGCTGACAGTCTGATGGGGACTCCTTTGTAGGTGACTGTCCCCTTAGCTCTTGCTGCTTCTAGGATTCTCTCCTTCATTTTAATTTTGGCTAATGTAATGATGATGTGCCTTGGTGTGTTCCTTTTTGGGTCCAACTTCTTTGGGACTCTCTGAGCTTCCTGGATTTTCTGGAAGTCTATTTCCTTTGCCAAATTGGGGAAATTTTCCTTTATTATTTGTGCGAATAAGTTTTCCACTGGTGGCTGTGCCTTTCCCCTTTCTGGTACCCCTATAATTCGGATATTGGAGCGTTTAAAGATGTCCTGGAGGTTCCTAAGACTCTCCTCATTTCTTTGAATTCTTGCTTCTTGACTCTTTTCTGTTTGGCCATTATTTGCTTTCTTCTGGTCCACCCCATTGATTTGAGTCCCAGTTTCCTTTTCATCGCTATTGGTTTCCTGTGCAATTCCATTCATTTCAATTAGTTTCGCCTTCATATGTTTCTCTAATTTGTGGCTATAATCAACCAGTTCTGTGAGGATCCTGATGACCAGTGTTTTTTAAACTGTGTGTCTGAGAGTTTTGCTATTTCTTCATCGCTTAGGTGTATGGGCTCAGGGATTTTGAGAATTTGCGACATTTTTGGTCTGTTCTGGCCCTTTAAGTGTGAGGAGCGGAGCCTTGGACTCCCAGGTCGCTGGGTTGTGACGCTGTATGTGGGGGCGTGGTCAGAGCGGGGAAATGGCGCCCTCTACTGCCGCTTGCCGCCCTCTACTGCCGCTTGCCGCGGGGACGCTGGGTCCCGGTCCAACCGCCCACTCCCTCGCCTGTCTGCTCTCGCACAAATAGGCGACCCCAGTCAACACGCAGCAATGCTTCCCCGATGTCTCCTCCGCGGTCGCTCGCCTGGTAGCTCGCTCGGTCGCTCACTAGGTCCAACCCTGCGCCTGGATTCCGCGTCTGGATTCCGCGCCTGAGCCCGTCTGACCGAGACCTCCTGTGCAATCCCGCTCCACCAGCCACTGGTTTCGCCCCTTACCGGTCAGGCTGCAGAATTTGTTGTTAACGGACTTCCGAAAAGTTCAATTTTCCGTGTTCTGGCTGTGTTTTGTGTTGCTAATATTTAGTTGTCCCTTAACTTGGTTGCGTGAGAAGGCACGGCACATCCACCTATACCTCCATCTTGGCTGTTCTTCTCTGGCAGGCCGTATATTAATTTTGTGTCTGTTGGTCTTTTAGTGAACGGATCACTAATTCTTTAGTGGTTTAAGACAGTTTTTTAGCCCTGGCTGGTGTGGCTCAGTGGACCAAGTGTGGTGCTGCAAACTGAAAGGTCACTGGTTTGATTCCCAGTCAGGGCACATGCCTGGATTGTGGGCTAGGTCTTAGGGGTGTGCGAGAGGCAACCCACCCATTAGTGTTTCTCTCCCCCTCTCTCTTCCTGCCACCTTCTCTAAAAATAGCCTTTAAAAGACAGTTTCTTAAAAACACAATGTTAACATATTACCATGTACACTTTTATGTTTTTTCTATTTTTACTTCAAGGTCCCCAAGGCAGATGACCTTGGCCTTTGTTACAACTAAATTTACTTTGTCCAACTTGTCCACAGATTCCTGGGAAAGAGCCCTTAGCAGGTATGTTTAGTTCAGATGGCACATGGTGGTGACCACTGTGGAGGAGGATGGTTAGCTCATTTTCGAGGTTTGCTTATTCTTGATTCTCTGTACACAGTGGCACATAGATTTAGTATTTTCAGAGGGTACTGTAAAAGTTTTTGTGCTCGTACCCTTTACAGGATTTGCACAGCTAGCCATATCGTGCGTGTCTGTGGCGGGGCCTCTGGCGGTCTGTGGCAGACGCTTCCCACCGAGGTCTTATGTAGGAGTGGAGCCCAGCCTCTAGAATGTCTCCATGCCAGGAGAATCTCCAAGGCAAGGTTTTTGAAAGTTCAACTACCTGATTGAAAACGGAGGGCAGGGACTGACATAGGGAAAACACACAGGGTTCAGAACTGAGCTCTGGGAGGAGGTCCAGTGAGTGCCGATACCAGGAGAAATGTAGTTGCCAGGACTTAACGTGGTTCAAAGAAACGCGATGAGAGAGATGAGACTTTGAACTGAGCCCTACAGGATGGGCAGGACTCACCAGAAGTGCGCATCTGTTGTGCTTGGGTGTCTCAGGTGTGCCTTCACGAGTGTCCCCCAGCCATTAGTCCATGTGCCCGTAATACTTGTGCTTTTATCATTATTTGAACTGGAAAATACATAATCAAGAGCAGTGAAGAGTCTTAGACTGAAGAACGGCTGTTACCCGTGGAGACGCTGCTCGGTCTGTCTGCAGGGAGGGCCTGATGTTCCTGCTGCTCCGTGGGCTGTGGTTCACAGCACCGGGAGCTACTGGCACTGTCCTCGAACCCGGCGGTGTTCTTCTGAGAGAGGTGTATTTAAGAGTAGCAGCTGTGTCTTGTTCCCCTTAAATAAGGTACCGATCATGCAGATTTTATTGTTGCTTTATTATACCGGTTGAAGTATGATTCATTGGATAGAATTGGAGATCTGTGTTTATGCAAAATTAGACTTGTAAATTAAATTTATTGTACTTGGACATATGAATATATCTTAAAAGATTAAGTAATTTTTTTTCAGTGTGCAATACCAGCAGAACTGGTGCTATTAAAATGATTTTATGTCCTATTAGGGATGTTTGACATCTGGAAGAAAAGGTGTTCTTAGTTCTTATTTTCATCTCAGTAATGCAAAGTCACCTAATTGAGCTGTTGTTATCTTTACGCTTACATTCCATTTACTGATTACCACCAGTATAAAGGGCTCTCAAATAATCCTCTCCAGTGAATTTTAGCTTCAATTACCAAAAAGCAATATTCCTACAGTCTCAATTCCCCACTGAGTGGATACTGTATCTAATTCAGTGACATCGTTTTCTAATACAATGATTTTATCTTAAAACCTTGACCTTGGTTTTGGTGTTGTGTAGATACTTGGATTTTCAGAAAGGGCAGGCTATTTACCAGACATTATGACAATGATTCTTCATTTTCTATGCCAGACATTAGTTCCATGAAGATTAGTTAAGATAATGTAATAATGTAAGGAGAGCTGTTTAGTTGAGTTTATAAACATCAAAGTAACAGGTAATCAAAGGATGCATGAGATTTTGAATGTGAATATTAGAAATTCAATATTGAAATTAATTATAGTAGCCTTGGATGTGTTTATTATGTCATTTGTTCTTGTAATGATAAGTTTCTACTTGCTCATTTTAATTTCCAATAGTGCGAATAAGTAATTAATTTTATTCCTGAGAAACTAAAGGAAGACACTGCTTAATGAATATGAAAACTGCCGTTAAGTCCCAGTTGTCCATTTCAGTAAAATATAGTTACTGAAGTAGAAGAAGACTTCAAAGCTAGCTATAAGTAATATATACAGGGTCTGGCACAAATAACACCTTTTTTTATTGCAAAATCTTCTATTACAAAATCGTAAGTGTGTAATTCTGTAACATAACAATATCACACTCAAGCACATTATATGGCATTTCAGGTGTAATGTTGAATTTGCTGTCTGTCTCAGAGCGGGACATTCACTTACCCTGTCAACCACCCTTAAGCAAGCCTGCCTTCTGGCAGACCTGGGGTGTGTGTGTGCGCGCACACGCACGCCACCTTCCCCCTTCGATAGTAACAAGCAGTGCAGAGAGCACTAGGCTTAGCGCTGCTGAGTTGGTGTTACTGTGCCTATTGGTGCCTTCTGGTTAAGGTTCCACAGAAAAATGTCTTTCCATCGTTTAATTTGATCTGCCCAATTGGCTAATTTTATTGCTATGTTAAATTAAAATTCTAAACATAGTAGTTCATTATTAAAAGAAATGAGAGAGGATTAAAATAGGGAATTAGTTAAAATAAATCTTTAAAAATGCTTTTGGATGAAGTAGCAGGCTTCAAGTGAAATTCAGTTTTGGTCTCCTTTACAGGAAAAGAGCTATTCACAGTCAGACAGAACCACTTGTCCCGTTTTGCAGGATCTCCTGAGGAAGTCAGAGTCTGAGCCAGCATGAAGACTGAGTCTTGTCTTCGGTCTGGTTCATAAAGCATGCTTTTATCCTAATCATGTGCAAGGTGGAGGTCATAGCACGGGGACCGAAATCTTAGTAAGTGACTTTTATTTTAGCTATTAAATAGTAGCCTTCCTGACAGTGAATTTGTCCTTTAACAGAGTTTACGCTGAAAAAGGGAGTGAGGACTTGGCAAGCGGGGACATCATACACTTATGAAGTGAAGGATTGAGCTCTCAGGTTTGGGAAAAAATCCCCAAGAAAGAGAAGGAAGAGTTTCTTTACTCTGTCTAGGATTTCTTTTACCTCTCTGGCTAAAAATCGGTGGAGATGACATTAACTTAGTTGAGAAGGGATTTAAAAAAACAGAGAGGCGGGCATCAGTGGTCATTGCCTAAATTCAGGTGGTTTGATAAAAGAGTTATTATTAAATTTACATGTGAGCTTCTTCATTTTATAAATGGTTGTCATTAAACAGTGAAGTCTTCATTATAGTGTAGTGTTAGTGAGCCCAGTGTAGAATCCTAGGAAACTTTAAAATGGTGAATATATTTTTAATATGAACTGAATTTTGAGTATATTTTAAATACTGAATATTTCTGAGTAAATATCAAAATTATATTGGAGCGATATGCTAGTAGCTAAGTGAAATTTTGTTGATTTCATCGTCCTAAGTATAGATGATTTACTCTTTTTATTTTATGTGTTTCAAAGAGAACTAGATTTTGAGGAGATAAGTATAGGCTATCATGCAATATTACCTGTTTTAGTGTTACTTTGTTAATTGTAAGGATTACTCCTCAACATCTTTCTCTTTTCACCTGTGCTTATTAAGAACAGTGGATAATTAGCACTATTAAATTGCTTTTCTTCCTTAGCAAAAATGATAGAATTGACTTCGATCTTATGATGCTGGACCCAGATAGCACACCATCTGTATTGTTCATAGTGTGAGAATGGTTATGTGTTGAAGATACGTGGTTTGTGTTCTTTCCCTGAGTCTTTGAACTGTTGGCTCCTTTTCTAAATTGATGGTGATGACTGGCCGAAATGAAACATTTCTATTAGCAGCTTCCCTATTTTAACCTCCTTCCCTCTTAAAGTAAACCTCTTTATCTTCCTCCTGTCTCTTGCATTCCGAAATACAATTCTATCAAATCCTGAGAGCGCTAAGGTTTTTCTTTATAGATTTACCTCCTATGTCTACGAAAATCAAAAAGGAAAGTAGAGTTCAGTGTGAAATCTTTACATGCATCTTTTGAAAAATTTTTAAGTGGAAGTGCACTTTTATTTTGGGGTCATATTTTCAGAGGTGGAATTATGTAATTTTTGTATTAATAACCATGTCCTAATTATTTATAGCTTCCTGCTTGACATAACTCACTTCAAGAAGTGCACAATGTCAGAACGTGGAATTAAGTGGGCTTGTGAATACTGCACGTATGAAAACTGGCCTTCCGCAATCAAGTGTACCATGTGTCGTGCCCAGAGACCGAGTGGAACTATCATCACAGAAGACCCATTTAAAAGTGGTTCAAGTGACGTTGGTCGAGACTGGGACCCTTCTAGCACCGAAGGAGGAAGTAGTCCTTTGATATGCCCAGACTCTAGTGCAAGACCCAGGGTCAAGTCTTCGTACAGCATGGAAAATGCAAACAAATGGTCGTGCCACATGTGCACGTATTTGAACTGGCCAAGAGCAATCAGATGTACCCAGTGCTTATCCCAGCGCAGGACCAGGAGTCCCACAGAGTCTCCTCAATCCTCAGGGTCTGGTTCAAGACCAGTTGCTTTTTCTGTTGATCCTTGCGAGGAATACAATGACAGAAATAAACCGAACACAAGGACCCAGCATTGGACTTGTTCTATTTGCACATATGAAAACTGGGCCAAGGCTAAAAAATGTGTCGTTTGTGATCATCCCAGACCTAATAACATTGAAGCAATAGAATTGGCAGAGACTGAAGAGGCTTCTTCGATCATAAATGAGCAAGACAGAGCTCGGTGGAGGGGAAGCTGCAGCAGCGGTAATAGCCAAAGAAGATCGCCTCCTACTACGAAACGAGACTCTGAAATGAAAATGGATTTTCAGAGGATCGAATTGGCTGGTGCTGTTGGCAGCAAGGAGGAACTTGAAGTGGACTTTAAAAAACTAAAGCAAATTAAAAACAGGATGAAAAAGACCGATTGGCTCTTCCTCAATGCTTGTGTGGGTAAGTTTCTGCATTTTGTTGACTGGGAAAGATACTGAAATGACTTGAAAACATGCAGGGTCAGTCTTGTTTAGCATTTAGTTCATTTACCAAGTTAGTGTGCTGTATTCGTGATCTTGATAGCCTTGTTCTGAATTGCTTCTGTTTCATTGTGTATGTGTCTCTCCATCAGTAGGGAGAGATACTTTTAAGTTAAAGCAAAGTTTTTTACACATCAGTAGTAAAATACATACCTGGAGTTTAAAACTGCTACTCTGTTTACTGTAACAAGATGTGACCAGGAACACCAGCTGCTGCTTCAGTGTTTGTAAACAGCGTGAGCATCTTGTGACGATAGAAGCTTTAGTCAGATGTTAAAAATACCACAAAAATGTGTGACCCCAGGGAGTCCGACAGACATAATACCAACCTTGAAAACACTGCTGTTAATATAGCATGAATGGCATGTAGTAGACGATGCTGACTTTATGAAACTGACTTCACAAGGCAGCCTGATTTCAGAAGTGCTTGTGACTACACTGCTTTTCTAAGGAGGTTCTCCATGCTGGTCCCAGTTACTGGCTCCTAGCTGTTCAAGGACAGACGTATTGTGAGTGAGTTATTTACAGTCTAATTCCCAAAAGCATTGTTGGACTCTCCCATGTTTTCTTTCTTTGAGTAGGTTAGCTGTTTGAATTTGGTGATTTCGTATTTTTTGGATGGAGTGCTTACTTTGACATTTAGACTTGTAAAGGAAATGTTGAGTGACTACTAAAGGTACATATGTGGAACTGTGGCTTAGCTATATATGTATTTTTCCTGGTATTTCTTTTGTTTATCCCCCTGAATATAGCCCCAAGAATGTGGAAGACATAGCTCTGTGGATCTGCAAGTCCTGAGAGGAGATTCTAAGAAACCTGAATTTTTAATTTTTGTTTTGTACTGGCAAAAAGAATGTCTCAGCAGATGAACCCTCTCATCACCAAACGCAGTAGGCACTTGGTAACTGTTAGTTCCAGTCACTGCTGTCCTGTGCCATCTTCGGTCTGTGCTGTCCTCCTTCATCCCATTGTTTTCTTAAAAAATTTTTTCTTGAAAAAACCCCCATCCAAGGACAGTTTTTCATTGCTTCTAGAGAGCTGGGAGGGTGAGAGGCCAGGAAAGAGAGAAACATTGGTGCGAGACAGAAGCATCAATTGGTTGCCTCCTGTGGGTGCCTGAACTGGGAGCGACGAGACGATGCTCCAACCAGCTGAGCCTCACCAGCCAGGGCCTGTCATTTCCTTTTCCTCTCTCAGTTGGGGTAGCACTTACCATGTGCTTGTCTTTTCTCTTTTCATACGGAGATACAAAAGGGCGTTACTTATTACTAATTTTTCTAGGTGAGGTCAGAGTCACATGACCAAACCCACCATTTGGGAAGTGAACAGTTCCATGGCATTTAGTGCATTCACAGTGTTGTACAGCCACCACCTCTGTCTGGTTCCGAAATACTTCATAAGCCTGAAAGGAGACCCTGTCCCCATTGAGCAGTCACTTCATATCCCTCTCACCCCTGCCCAGGGAACCGGCAGTCTGCTTGCTTTCTCTGTGGGTTGATCTGTTCTGGACATTGCATGTAGATGGAACCTTTCACGATGTGACCTTTTGTATCTAGGCATGATCGTCTCATTAACTGTGTCCTGTGAAACACCCTTCAACCATTGTTCTGAGCAGTAGCGTTCTGTGCACGTTTCCTGCAAGGCGGTGTCACTGTGCGGGTTTACAGATGGGAGTGAGCTACATCGCGGTGATTCTTAACCTCTTTGGGGTCATACAGTTCTTTAGGAATCAGGTTCATTGTTTCTTTAAGTTAGCAGATCTCAAGGTTAAGAACTACTTGGAAATGTTTTCTCTCCTTGAAGTATACAATTTAGACCAGTCAGTATTACTTTGTTTTAAAAGATTTTATTTATTCATTTCTGGGGGCGGGGAGAAAAGGAGAAAGAGAGGGAGAGAGATATCAGTGTGTGATTGCCTCTCGTGCATCTCCAGCTGGGGACCTGGCCCACAACCAGGCATGTGCCCTGACTGGGAATCAAACTGGTGACCCTTTGGTTCACGGGCCAGTGCTCAATCCACTGAGTCACACCAGCCAGGGCTACTTTGTCTTTATGGCTCTTATTTCTTGTTTTTATGACTACTTGGTGCTACCTTTTATTTCTTTCCACATACTCTTTCTTCTTTTGAACAACCATCCTTATGCCTCTTCAAAATTCTAAGAGCTGTGAGTTTATTTTAAAAATGGAACAAAAACTCCTACCAGCAGGTCCAGTACTAGATTTTGGCTTGTTTTATTTATAAAACAACTTCTTTGTCATTAAGTTCCTATTCCCACCCACTCCTGAGTTTCCAGGTTTGTTGGGCTAAGGATTGGTTGTACTTGATTTTTGGTGATGGGGATTCTGTCTTTTCTATCTGCAAATACGTTTACTGTTCATTCACTGCACCTTGAACAGTAAACATGGTTCCGAACTGTTGTATGAAAAAGATTGTGTGTCCCTGTCTTTGTTACATAGTCGTGTCTTGATCTCTGGAATGTGCTAAAAATATTTTTTTCTCATTTATATTTTGTTGGGTTAATTAACAGAAGTCCACATTTACTGAAAATTAATCTTTATGTCTCCTTTTCGGCCTGCCTCATGTTGTCCAGGCTTCATTAGACATGTTGTCTTACGGCTTGCTGATGTTATGCTTTTAAAAAAGTTACTTCAGCAGTCCCTTTGGCAACACATACACTAAAAAAAGTCTCCAAAGTATGTACACTAAGTATAAAATAAATGCTGATTTTTACTAAGTATCAGATGTGAGAAATGTGAAATTGGGGGGAAACCCTCAACCTTTGAGGGTCAGCTTTGTAGCTGTTAAAACGGGAATGAGGGGATCGAGTTGTTGAGAAGGCAGAAGTAAACTGGAGTCTCGACAGTGTTGAGCAAGATCTTGCACATGACTGCTGGGTGTAAGTTGCACATCAGTCCCCTGGTCTTACGTGGTGAGCGGGCGTTGGGGATAGTGTTGCCAAAACCTGACCTCAGGTGGGAGCTGGGATGGTTGAGTGCCAGGTGTTTTTCTGGGGGCTCATGTCGATGCTAATCTGTCCTTTTCACTGGGCAGCACTACTCAACGCCGTTTTAGTTCTGGTGTTACTGAGTCGGTCGCCCTTTAAAAAAAGGAACATTTAAATTTGAGACCCAAGTTGATTCTTTGAAAATTCTGTGTGCCAGGAACAGTGGATGAAGAAGACCAAATATATATTTATTTGTTATTATAAAGCAATACCGCAGACTTTTTTTTCCTGCGTGATATGGTTGAAAGTACTGTTACTGGAACTTTTTTTTTCTTTTAATTTTTAGAGAGAGGGAAACATTGATGTCAGAGAGAAACATCAATCACTTCTTGGATGCACCTTGACTGGGGACTGAACCTGCAACCTAGGCATGTACTCTTGAGTGGGAATCGAACCAGTGACCTTTTGCTTTGTGGGAGGGTGCTCAGCCAGCTGAGCTGCACCAACAGGTCACTGGGACTTTTCAATAACTTTTGATAACTGTGAATATTAATGTTCTCAGTCCTGTCTTTTTCCAAGCCAGCTAGATGAAAATGCCTTTATGAAGCTGACTGCTATGTCCCAAGGTCGTCTGTCACCCACCGCTGCTTCCCAGCATTCCATGGGTAGGCCATAGTATTTGGACGTGATTTTTAGTGTGGAATTTCTGTGGTATTTGGTCTGTTTTCTTGGCTTGTGTTTGCCTGTTTTACAGTTGGTATACCATAGCTATTTGACAGTTTTCCATCCTTAGAATTTTTCCTGCTCTGTGGAATCACTCTGTGATAATTACCACTTCTGAGAGGTAATTATCACCTGGTCAGTCATCGGCAGCAGACCTGTGTTCCAGTGTTTAATTTTTGGAGCTCATCTCTTGGGAATTTAGAGAGGAAGCTAATGAAATTGTTCACTGTTCTGATAGATTAAAGTTATGGTTATTTTGTATTTTTTTGAAAAGGACTTGAAATCTTTTCAATTATGTCTACATTCAATATTATTATTTTTTAATTTTATATTTATTTTTATTTTTATTTGAATTGTTCAAATACAATTTTCTGCCTTTTTTCTCCATCCCAGCCCATCCCCCATTCAGGGTTATTTTGTGTTAGTTTCAGGTCAGTGGTTAGACAGTTACATATTTTACAAAATGTTCCTTTCAATATTTCCAGTACTCAACTGGTTAAGTTATGGTTGTTATTATGTTTTTAGTGCTAGATTTATTCTAGGATGCTAATGGGCCATTCTGTTTATGAACTTGACTTTATACTGATACCAGATTGAGTGTTCTCCTGAAAGTTGCTCTTCTCCTTAGTGCCCTTTTTTTCCTATAAAATGTTGCTTTACATATGCATAAAAGCCTGAAGAAGAGTCTTCAGGCTTTAAATGTCTTGAGTGTTAGACATTTAAAACCATGAGGTTTTAAATAACATTTTTAGAAAAGATTTTATTTATTTATTTTTGGAGAGAGGGGAAGGGAGGGAGAGAAAGAGAGGGAGAGAAACATCCGTGTGTGGTTGCCTCTTGTGCATCCCCAACTGGGGACCTTGGCTCGCAACCCAGGCATGTGCCCTGACTGGGAATCGAACCAGAGCCCCTTTGGTTCTCAGGCCAGTACTAAATCCACTGAGCCACACCAGCCAAGACTAAATAACAGTTTTTAAAACAAAAATGGTTTGATTTAAAATATTCTATTAAAAACTTTATTAATGGAGTCCAAAATATATATAGACTCCTGCAGCAAATCTTTGGCACTGCCTTCGTGAAAGGAAAGCAAAGTGCCAGCATGCTGGTGACACCCTGTATGTCCTCGGTGAACTGGGAGGCGCTCTTACCTGGGATGTGTGTGTAGCTGTGAAATCCGGTCTGTTCACTCCACACACATCCTCCTTGCTGGTGGGTCTCCTTTCTTATCCAACGTAGTTGATGTCACAGGTCA